GTTGTGTTCACAAGAATATAATAAATGTTATGTATGGTAAGTATGAAGTACTTACAATAGAAGTGGATTTTCTTAATTCTCTTTTATGTACTTCCTATGTATACAGTGTGAACTTATCCTGAATGATGTGGCTGCATTATGTCATTATTGTAAATATGGCTGTTTCTGTCATACAGATTGGGCTAAAAATTCAAGTGACACCACATCTCACAGTGACTGGTCTGATGGAATTGCTATGGCTGTTGAATATGGGGTGGCAAGTCTTTCAGAAAAAGAAAACCCCCTTGGTGATGGCAGCTTGTCCTCTGATACAGATGTAAGTTGTACTGATTTTCAGAGAAGCATGAAAGATCATAAATAGCAAACTTTCAGAGTAGGTTGCTTGCCGATCTGTAACATCTTTTAACTGCATTACTTGTAGATTCGCAGGATTACTGGGTATTTGGGCTTTGTCCATCGTCTGGTATTATAAAAGGATATAACTTTTTGGAAACTGGATGTGTTTCTATTCTCAGGTGAGGGTGTGTAAGACTCCTACTCTGTTAGGTCCATCAGAGCTAACCTCAATGACTGGACCTGTAGGTCTTGATATGAAGGTATACAGATAAGCCATGTACGAGGTGGTATCAGAAAGTTCCTGGGCTATTTTTGTTGTAACTGCTTCAGTGAAAGAATATGAGAGGGGAAGCCAAGGTCACACTCCTGCAAGCCTATTACATCAGTCTGCCACATGACACTGTGCAGTGAACATGCATTGTTTTTACACAAGTGCTTTTTCAACTTCATGTTTCATTTTTTCTGCGATGGATGGAAAAATCAAGTAACGAGTAACGTGTCTGCATCAAGTTTTGCATGGAGCTCAGTTAATCAGTTACTGAAACCCTTGAAATGCTTTGTGATGCTTTTGGAGAACATTTTTTAAGCCGGACAGTGGTTATTGAATGGCATTCATGTTTGAAGGGTGGCTAAGCGTTACTTGAAGATGACAAACATTCAGGGTGACCAAGCACCAGCAAAATGACAGAAAATATTGAAAACATTTGAGAACTCATCAACGAAGACCATCGACAAACAATTCATGAGCTTGCGCACACTGTTGGGATCAGTTATGGAGTTTGCCAGGAGATCTTAACAGAAAATTTGAACATCCATCACATTGCTCCTTCATCATGACAGTGTGCCCAAACACAGGGCCATGAGAACCACAGAGTTTGTGACTAACAACAAAATGGTTATCGTTCCCCATCCTCCATCCTCACCAGACTTATCCCCATGTGATTTTGCTGTGTGTTCTGAATGGAATTCACCCATCATCTAGTATGTAAAAGACAAAAGACCACAACGTTTCGGAGACTGGATCTGTCTCCGTCTTCAGGTGGATAGGGAAGGATAAACCTACTCAGTTGGGCCCGTTAGAAAGAGCTAGTCTCAATCACTGGACCTGGACAGATCCAGTCTCCGAAACGTCATGGTCTTTTGTCTTTTACATACCAGACGATGGGTGAAGTCCAAAATAAGCCAAAAGAAGTATAACTTAATTGTTTTAATCACTGTATCTACTTTGTCTCAGGACATAATGTGTGCAGCAGGCATGGTGGTGATCTGTGATGATGAACCTAGCCAGTTTGCTGACACCTCTGGGAATTCGGACTCACCACTGAATGTTGATCCTGAGGTTCCCCGAGCTGATTACTGGACTTGTGTACAGTGCAAGAATATGAAGAATAATCCCCTTTTCCGATATTGTGAAAAATGTTACGAGGTAAAATAGTTTTCTCTCAATGATAAAATGTAAATTGAATAACACAGACATGGAGGAGCAGTCACCAGAGAATAGGTCATCAAATTGCAGATCCATGCTGGTATAAATTTCCGTCAGTCTTATTTCCTGCCCCATGCCACACTCATTTTTGTGTTCTTTGTTGAAGCCTAATTTCTCTTATTGTTGAATCCTGCCAAGGGCGTATTCAGTCAGGCAAGTCCAAACTAAGAATTGAGGTTGTGATGATATGCATGCTGGTTGGGCATTATACAGATATCTCATGCTTTTATAGAAGAATATGTTTCATTCATGAAATGAAAGGCTAATGGGAGAAAATGTAAGTACTTTTGTATGCCATAATCCTCACATTAATTGCCTGTTAAGTGTTGGACCTTGCTGCCTCTTATGATTTCCTGCTATCCCTTTAGTGGTCTTCCTAAATTTCTTTTTCTCATTAGGGTTCTGGGCTGTAATCGGTTTCAGTACACTGTTTCTTTACTTTCTTTCTTGCTGTTTCCAGTTCATGTGGTAATTTTGTAGACTGGAATAATTTTAAAGAACTGTCAATGAAGACCAATTAACTTAGTCTTTGTATTCATAATCTTGTTTCTGCTTGTTTCAACCAATTGTTGGTCATCATCAGATGATATCAAGTACACAGTATCTTCGTAGCAAACGGACTAACATTGCAGTACAGGAAAAAACAGTATTTGTACATCGGGGGGTAAAAAATCTTAGAATATGTATCCATCATATAAATTATATGGTGTGAGAAACTGATTGATAAGAGTTATTATAAATTGTGGTTAGATGTCAGGATGTCAACAAGAATTCAAAGAGTGAAGATAATAATAATAATACCACAGTGACAAACAATACACATTTATCTGTAACTCATACACATGCTTAACTGAGTTCCCTACGACCACTTCGCCTATTCCTAGGCTTGGCTGGCAGGGTCTGTACAAGCAGGAGTGACAGAAATGGTGAATGCTGGCCATAGTTATGGGAGGGTGAGACATCTGGGCATTGGTGTGTTACCTGTGCCAGATGAGTATATCAAGATACAGAATGCCAAAGTTTAATAGTATCCGTTACACAACTTCTTCAGTCTTCCAGTCAACAGTCTGCTGTTGTAGGACTTGACTTTCTCATAACAGTGGTTATGAAGAGTTTTATCTTCTGGAATATGATGCCATGTAGTCCGTTGAAATGCAACTGATCTGCTTACTAGCTGCTTAATGCTGGTTTCTTGCTTGGCTTATTCTTTGACCCTGAAGATAGAGGTGACATGTTCTTCCAAAATATTGACTTCCAGCAGATTACATGGTATTATATCCCAGGAGGTATGACTCTTCTTTGTCTGCTCTTGGCTGTTGTGCTTTTAATATTATTTAGCATTATGTATGTCTGGAAACTTCCTTCTTATTCCATACTAAGATGGTAGTGTTGCTCAGCAGGAGTGCTATGTGTCATTGTTAACTCGTAGGAAGTTGGGCCTCTCATATAATGCATTTAAATGATGGCACCAGTATTCAGACTAGAGGCATACTAACTATGTGCTGTACCCCTCTCTGTAAACATCAGAGCTCCCTGCTTGAATAGGTATTTTGAGTGTGCATTGTGATCCCAAGCCTGTAGCAAACAATATTTTAGATAGCTAGTGTACATTTTTCATTTCCTTGCCTTTCATTTTGACATGCTGTCCACATATGTTGCCAAAGATTTATGCAACTTGGGTTTTACATGCAGCTGCAACAACTTTATTATCACTGAAACACTGTGGACATGAGTAAAAATCTCACTGGCTTCAAGTTTATGTAACAGTGTGAAGCCTAACCCAGGATTTTCAGATTGGCATACCGAATCATTACATCTCTTGTTAGGTAGTTCAGATTTATAGTCAGTAACCTCATCTGAGCTGTAGAGATGTTCTACTCTCAAACCTAAGAAAGTTCATTGGATTTTCATGAGTAAGGACTCCTTTCCCATGACAGAGTTCAGCTTCTTGATTAGGGATGAGTGGACGTAAAGATTATGAAGAAAAGTAAATCTCTTCATTATAATTGAGTTTAATTTCATAAACATTTTCTTCGCCTGTTTGCAAATGTTGCAGATTATTTTGTTTCTGTCACTGGGAATTAGGTATTGAGTATCAGAATATTGGCCACTTTCTGTATTTTTGTTTTGCTCTGAATCGGCAGAGGCAGATATGTGTGCAGTGCAATCGTTCTAAGAAGTTCCCTTGCTTTCTCAACTGTGAGATTTGTTTTAAGGTAAGTGTAGTGGCTCCTTAAGGCAGAAGCTGGCCAGTCAAAGAGAAGACACTGTTTTCAATAATATGGATAGTATGTATGAGTTGCTGTATACATGTTTAAGAGCATTAAATTGCTACTTCCATTGTGTGTCTTTGAGTACACCTTGTACCAAACCTGAAATGGTTAACACATATCTGTGTCCCTTGGTTTTGGAGAAGAAAATGCAGAATTTAACAAGACGACTTGGTTCAGAATTACATTTTATCAGCACTCATGTTTAGTGACCCTGTCTGACTCAGCTAGTAAAATGGCAGTGGGTCTTCAGATGACATCGCCATCTCACATCATGTAGTACGTGTAATAATCTGGAAACATAGTAATTGCTAGAATATCTGAACATGTTTATTTGCAATAAAAATATTCATGACTTCATATGAAATTAGAATTTAAGGAGAGTGAACATGCACATTTAAAAATTATGCTTTAGTTTGTTCCTATTAGTTATTAACCGTCTCACATGCAACTATCTTTTTAATTGACCTTTAAAATCTCTGTGTCACTGGTGTATGCACACTGCATGTTTGAACCAACATTGGTCATCTGCAGATGTCTCAAAAGTTACTGATTATACTACTGTGCTTCCATCCATAAGTTCAGATTTTGAGGTATGTGCTCATGTATCCCTTGTTCATAACAGTTATGCCACACAGCAAGAGGAACCACCTATCACCATAGGAGCTATGTATGTTGGGAAGGAAATTGTAAGCCAAGAAGTCTGCTCCCATAGGTTCTGTCTGAGAAACAGGGTAAACCACAGGGATACACGATAAGAACAACTACCTCAGGCTGCTTTTGCAAGTTGCAGACATGGGAACGTGAGGGAGAAGTTAAAAGGGAGGTGACTGCATTTGAGTTCCATCCAAATAATAGGAACAAAGGATGGCACTCTTCTGCTTCTTCCAAGATCATAGGAAGCCTGTCCCACAGGACTCCCAAGATGGATTCTCCACTAGGCCACGTAGATCCATGAAATCTGCCTCTATCTGAATACTGACTACATCCTTTCCATGTAACCATCAACTCTTGAATGTTTCTTTCCTCTCCAGGCTTCCCAGCCACTGTATCTTGTCTTTTTGTATCCACTGCTGCATTCCTGTGCCCATGTACATGACTTCTCTCCCACCCTCCTTGCTTGCCTGCTACACACGTGCGCACATGCAACTCCTCCTAGATACTACAACGTCAGCAGGTTGCAGAACTATCCTTTCCACTGCCTGGGGTAGTTACTTTTGGTTCCCTAATCTCCAGTTGTTTCTCTGTTTCTCAGAGATAGCCAGTTGAAGCAGACTTGTTGGCTTGCAAGTTCCCTCATAGCCCTGTCCTTCCCACATGTAGTTTTCTCTGCATGCTGCCTGCTTCATGATGGTTTCTCGCTTGGCTTACTATTTGTCCCTGAAGATGGAGGTGACATGTTTCTCAGAAGCATCTGTCAAGTTTCACCAGATTACATAGTGGTATATCCCAGAAGATGATACTCTTGTGGTGACTGCCCAGAGCACCTTGTCACTGTTTTACTCGAGATCACTGTTTTATAGAATGTAAATGAACATGTGGACCAAACAAAATTTATATTTTGATTTGTTGGACAGTGATAACATACATCACTCCCACTAAGAATGTGAAAATTTGGTATGGCGGCCATGGTTGCACTGTGTAAAATGCCTCCCCAATGCATTACGTGGCCTCTTGTTTGTGGCCCCCCCCCCCTAGTCTGACAGTTCATGAAGAGGTTCCCAAGCTTCACCCTGCCCACGGTAAGCCTTAAGCTGCAAACAAGATCATGTAACTTACTGCATTGTAAGATATAAAGCATACAAGAATACACCATCTACACAACAACCCTCTGTATTTTAAAAGAAAGAAGACACTAATGTATCAACATTTGTTTTTATTAAAGCTTTTATGGACGCAACATGTTTTGACCCTTATATTGGGCCATCATCAGGCGTACAATGTTCAGCTTTAACCTGCTGAACTGCATCCAATTATCATTCAGTTCACTAAATAAGGATCCTTATTGTGTTTTGGACTTAATTCAAGTACATAAATATATATAAAATAAGAAGAAAGCAGTAAAATAAGTTTTGGTCAAAATTTAACTGAATGTATTTAAATGATACAATTAAAATTAAATTAAGAATATGAGAAATTAAAAACCAGATGCTGAAGATTAAGATAAGAAAAGCTAAAAATTGTGTATTTTTGGTAGGACTCTGTGACCGTTACATGTTAACTTATTTTTGCCAGTGGAAGTGACTGTACCATAGGACGCCTGCGTAAAGGAATCTTCTCATGTGGGGTAGGTCATGACACTCCCTTAGTACTGTCTTGAGCTTAAGCTCATAATTCAGTGACGTGATGTGTATTAAGTTGTTCTATTCTTATGAGTGGAATACATGCAAGCTGATCACTATGTCTCTGTGATATAGCGGTATATTTATGTATTTGAATTAAGTCCAAAACACAATAAGGATCCTTATTTAGTGAACTGAATGATAATTGGATGCAGTTCAGCAGCTTGAAGCCGAACATTGTACACCTTATGATGGCCCAATATAAGGGTCAAAACATGTCGCGTCCATAAAAACTTTATTAGAAAGAAGTGTTGATACAGTAGTGTCTTCTTTCTTTTAAAATCAGAGTTGTTGTGTAGACAGTGTATTCTTGTATGCTTTATATCTTATTTGAGACACACAACAGGATGCAAACTATTAAGATTACTGCATTATGTTTGTAAGTTAGGTTACAAATAATGCTTTGGTGCCCATTAAACTTCAACATGTCTGTGCTGAGTGCTTACATGGTGTATAACACAGAGATATTGGGTTTTCGGACTCGTCCTGGCTTTTAAGATAACTAAGAAAGAGCTAGCCTCAATCACTGGATGATTGAGGGTAGATCTTTCTAAGGGACCCTACAGAATAGGTGTTTTCCCTCACCTGAGGACAGAAACAGATCCAGTTTCCGAAAAGTCGTGTTTTTCTTAGTTATCTTAATCATCCAGTGATTGAGGCTAGCTCTTTCTAAGGAACCCAACAGAATAGGTGTTTTCCCTCACCTGAGGACGGAAACAGATCCAGTTTCCGAAAAGTTGTGTTTTTTCTTAGTTACCTTAAAAGCCAGGACGATGGATAAAGTCCGAAAACCCAATATCTCTGTGTATAATTTGTATGTGTACAATAAACAGTTGGATCAACCATCATTCCAGTCTCTGATGACAGGAGACAAACAGTCTTTGAAATGTTGGAGAATTTCTGCATTATTATTATTATTGCTAGTGGGGTGGGACTTAAGTCCCTTGTACTGCGGCCACTTCTGGCCTATTGTACCAAGATTCTCTGCATACTGGCATGTTTGATCACTCAAAAAGTTTTCATTATTAAGCGACAGATGTTTACAAGTGTCATACCATTGCTACTATTACCACTACCTATCAGTCTGTCTTCATAAATCTATTTAGAGAGTTATATCTTCTGTGAAATAATGTCATATAGTCTGTTTAAAGTCAACCATTGTTTCAGAAGAACATGTTACCTCCACCTTTAGGTTAGAAGAATCAGCCAAGCAAGAAACCATTGTGAAAGCCAGTGACAAGCACAGCTTGCCACCTAGTTTCACGTTTTGTTTGCCACAAACATACACGCTGGTTTCTTGCTTGGGTGATATTGCACCATGAAGATTGAGGTGAACTCTGAAACAAGTTGTCATTCAACAGACTACAAGGCATTATATCCCAGGAGATAGAACTCTTCATAATTACAGTGTGAGAGTCTCAAATTCTACATAAACAAACATGTTCATGAACCAAGCCCTTATTGCTCGCTTATCCCACACTTACCTTCCTGTTGTTTACATCAAACTCTGCACTTTCCTATTCTGTAAAATTTGGGGATAAATTGTGTGAATTGTTTTCTCATGTAAGAATTTGAAACAAATTTATGTGAAGAGAAAATCTTAATTTTGAACATTTCACTCCAAAAATTGTGCTGTAGTAGCTTTGCTTTGCCCTGTATGGAGGCTGGTTAAAATGCCTCACTGTGAGTCATAGAAGGCAGTGAAAAGGGAACCCAGTGTCTGGAGGTATATAATTGGGCCACCCTGTCACTGGGGGACATAAGTAAAGGGACCTGGTCCTCCAGGTTAGGGGTTGGATGCAAGGCTGTGATAACCTTGCCCTGTAAAAAAATATTGTCATAAAATCCAAAGAAACGGAAATGGATGCTTTGTGGCACAATCTTCTAAGGAAGGCTATGGCTCAAAAAAGGCAGTTTTGCCAATAATGACAGTGATGAATATCCTTGCTTTACTCTTATCCAAGTGAATTTTATTTACAGGTTCGAAAAAATTTCTTCCCTCCACGGCCGCGTGGGAGAAAGAGAAAAAGGAGATCTTCAAATTCTGCCAAGAAACGACGCCTGACTACTTTATCAGACATCTGTGAAGAGAATGTGGTTTTGAAAAGTGGTGGTGATACTGCAGGGCCTTCAAATATCCGTACGGATAGTGGTTTAGGATCAAGTCAGGAGTTTTCATGCAGGACGGAACCTAAATGTGTAACTGATTCACAAAAAGTACCTGGGGTCCCTAGCAGTAGCAACTCTGACATATGTATGATGTGCTTGGTGAATCCAAAGAATGGTATATTTGTCCATGGCAAAATAGGTCATATATGTTGCTGTTATAAGTGTGCATTAAAAGTTTGGACAGGAGTTAGAAGGTGCCCTTGTTGCAATTGTAAGGTTAACAATGTGCTTAAGGCTATAGTGTTATGAAATTGAACTGAATTGCAACTTGCAGTTCACAACCATTTTTATTGGACACTGATTTTGAATTTGATTATTTGGCAGGTTTAATTTTATTATGGGAATGAAGTGATTTTATTTCCAGCTAATATAATCCAGATATGTTACTAGTAAAGAGACCAGCTACAGATTGGACATCCAGTTATCAGTTCCTGGTAAGGTCAGGAATTTTTGTCTTCACCACTGCTGTGTCCAAGACTGGCTCTGAGGCATGTCCGCTGGGTACCAATGGCTCTTCTTGAAGGTGAAGCATGAAGCTGGCTAACAGACACATTGTTCTAAAGTTAAGAATGCATTGAGCTATACCTCTACTGTATACATCTTCATAGTGTGGTGGTACTTAATTAAGCTCAGGGATAGCTTTACCTCATTCATGTCTCATTTTAACCAACTTATTCTGTTATTTCTTATGTGCGGTAAGCCTTGGAATTTATAGTTTCATGTTTTAAATGTGTTATCTTGTAATTCTTTGACTTTTTTATGCTTTGAAATACTGCTCAGTGCAGTAATGTGCATGCAATTTTTGCTCACCCTATCTTCCTTGCAAACCACACAACATCTTCTTTGACAGGTTACAGCAAGAAAATGGTGAGAAAGAGGAATACAATATCCCAACACTAAGTAAATATTACTAATGCCAGCTCCCACATATAATCAAATTGCATAGGTACATCATTATAATCAGTATAATACCAGGAGGTATGAGCTAGGATAGCACAGTCAGTATAGTGACTGGCTATGGGCTGGACGGCTGAGGGGTCAGGGTTCGATTCCTGGTAGGGTCAAAAATTTTCACTTCGCCACATAGTCCAGACTGGCTCTGGGGTCCACACAGCCTTCTGTCCAATGGATACCAGGGGCTCTTTCCCTGGCAGTAAAGTGGCAGGGACATTAAGCTAACCACTCCTGCAGCTAGTGCTTAGATCAAGAAAATGTGGATCTATACATCCACTCCCTCTTAATGTCTTCATGTCTTAGTGCTTAATTAGTTAAGCACAGGGACAACTTTACCTTTTAATAATACGAGGAAGTACTTCCCACTCCTATGTGCCAAATATTGGATTGAGTAGGTTAGCACAAGCCTGCATGGACAAACATTTGAGGGAAACCGGTACTATTTTAAAAACTGCAAAAGTCCGTTGAAATACCACTACATATCTCTGCTGCTCTATTTAAATACCACTGAACTACTATTACAAACTGGTTTGTTTGTTTGTTTGGGTTATTATTATTATTATTATTATTAAGATGCATAAAACAGAAGAAATGTTGCTTAGTGTGATGAAAATATGGTCTGAAAGTATCACAGACTGTTGCTAGTGAGATGTACAGCAAGTTGTGCCATACCATTTGCATTCTTTCAGCACAGTGCAGCCAAGCCCATGTTTTTGAATATATGTGCAGGTATATGAAGTATAGGCATTTCATTTCATAGGCTCCAAACTGTGTTTTCTTTTGAGCTGCTGGTGTTCATAAGTTCACCATGCGGTCACCACTGTAAAATGAAACAAATCAAAATGTAAATGATGAAGTCACTACATGTAAAGAAAACATGATAAGAGGACCACTGACTGTGCACATGCACTGGCAGATTGTTCTGTGCATAAAAAGGATTTTCCTAGTAGAAAGATGGGGTATTTGTTCTATAACTTTATTAAATATGAAACATTTCTGCTAGTTATGTGCCTAGTGGCATTTCTTCATTGTGGTATATGGCAAAATATTTGTTACGGTGGTGTCCTGGCTTCCTTGGAAACGTATCACAATAAAACAACATTTCTGTCCTGCCTGCTCAGTCGGAGTTAGTATAAAACCTGTCTATGTACAGATGATATCCTTTTTCATGTGTTACATTTTGAACCTTGTGTTCTAGAACAATTCTGCTAGTAAATGTTTACTCTAGATACATCAGACTTTTTGTAGTTACTGACCCATAATAGGTCAGGCCACAAACATGCCCATTTGAGTAATCAACAGTTATATGTATGTGAAATTCCCATCTGTTGGCTTTTGTTGATTGTACATTTTTGAGACACCACAAACCTTGAAATTCGCAGATTATTCGTCTGCAGGTAAACACTGTGTTGAGTCATGAATATCGCAAAGATAACTGTAAAAATCCCATCCTGGAAAATATGTCCTAGAACTGTGAAGAATCAAATCAGTATTCAAAAATAAGGTCCTTGACAGAACATTTTGCATGTCTTGCGATGTTCAGTGTAATACCATGAAATACCATCAGCTCTTTGGTTGTGATATCTTCCCATGTGGCCCAAATAAGGGTTTTTCAAAGGCACAGCTTCGCTTATTTTCACACTTACCTGTCTGTTGGTTTCAGCAGTTATTTCTATCAGTAAAGTTGTACTAACAATGGTATAAAAGTTTGGAGAAACAGGCATTTGTCTGTTTCAAGGTGGTTTACAACCAAATGAGGCACATAATGGTATCTTACAAAAATCATGGTAATTTTGTCTCAGAGAACCCAATCTTCATTGTCATCATCAGCGCCACCACAATCATCGATTATATTAACATCTGCATCCTGTCTAATACACCTGAAAGAAACTGAGTTCTCACACAGTTGTTCACAGATCTGTGTGCTGACCAGTGCATACCTAGTGGTAGGAGCCATTGGGACATAATTGCTGAAGCTTGTCAGATGCACCTGCCCTGATAAATACTGTCATCCAGACTTGAGTGCAAGGGGTTTTACATATCGTTTTACTCATGACTTATCATAACCTGGTAGCTGAAAACCTGAAAGGCAGCTAGGTGTGTAATTTTACAACTATTTAATTGAGTAACAGGTAATGTAATACAGACTACAACATATATTCAAAGAAACTGACACATGAATACAATGACTGATTCCAAGAGAAACGCAAGTGAACTATAAAGAACTAGGATGGCTCTAGACTCGTGGCTGTGGCCACACTAGCTGGAAGATCAGTACAGTATGGTCAGTCGTACACAATCACAAGTAGGTCACAAGCACCTTTACTACAAATTTGAGGAAACTAATG